GTGTGTGTGTGTGTGTGTGTGTGTGTGTGTGTGTGTGTGTCTGCAGGGAAGGAGCTGGGCTTCTGGCTCTTCTCTAGGGGGAGGGGAGGCCTGCAGTGGAGTCTAGGAGGACCACCCAGGATGTATGGGCAAGGGAAGGGGGCATTTTTCTGGGCAGCTAGGCACACACATCTCTCCCTGCAGCATGGTTTCAATCACCCTGACAGCAAAACCTCAAGCTTCGAATCTGGGCCGAGGATGCTTTGTTTTCCTTGCTAATCAAGACTCTTGCTTTTGGCTCATAGTAACAAAAATTTCAACAGTCACAGCTAAAAAGCTTGGTCGGAGCTCCTGGAAGGCATTATGTTAAGCTCTCTATGGAAACATAGCAAGGTAAATGAGAAATAATCCCTGGGACAAAGAACTTGCTGGAAGGAGGGGCTATGTGTCCTTCATCATCCTCCAAGACACAGGTCTTGAAATGTTTGAGTGCTCTGCCATCCCTAAGTAACTGTAAATCCTGGAAGAGTTGAGAGTATGTAGGAGCTGAACTGAGGCCTCAAACTCTGTGTTGGCATTCTCTGGAGGGCTGGCACATACATCTGGATCTGGGCCCTGCCTTCAGCAGGGCTCCCAGTGAGGATAATGCTCCAGGGACCAGATAGGAACTCGCTGCTGTGAGCCCATTGATAGGAGCTGCTCCCGTTTTCTGTTCTGTCACATAGAGAATGAGTTTAACCCACTGCGCATACATTTGGTGAATCTTGAAATGTATTTTGTTTTGCCCCAGGGTTCTCATGAAACATTGCCTGCACACTGAAACAGTCCCCACTTCTGGAGGCAAGCAAGCAAAACTGCCAGAAGACAGCCTCCAGGTTTCACTTAGCAAGAAAATTTCCTCTGGTGTTTTAACAATGGGTTCAGTTACTAGAAACCCAAATGGAAGGTTAAAGAGACCATGTGCAATCTGCTAACACTGTTCTTCACCATGTGGGCCCCTTCCTCAGGGCTGGCCACACACATGCTTTTTCTTGGGACAAATGGAGGTTTCTGAAGTGTCTGTCACTCAGGATAGAGATTGGGTCCATGTAGGAAGTCATCATTTCTAGGTGGGTTTCTCCTTAGAAGTTCTGATCTTCAATCTGCTGCCAGGTTGGGTCCCTAGATCACTTCTTACTATCTCACATTCCCCAACTAGATATGTCTATTTCTCAGCTTCGGTGACTCCAGAATCCCAGCATCAATCTCCTTCCTGAGGGCAGGGGCCCATGTCTAGCTACAGATCAATGACGATCATGCTGCTTCCCAAACTTAACTCTCTTCCCTCCTCCCAGTAATAGAGCCTTTTACTCAACCATTTTCTACTGAGACATAACCCCACTAAGCTGCACAGGATGTCCTTGAACTAACTCTGCAGCACAGGGGTTCTAGAACTTTTGCTCCTCTTGCCCCACCCTCCCAAGATGACAGGCTTACACTGCCAGGCACACCCCAAAAAGAAATGTTTCAAAAGTTGTGTGGAGCCTGCTCTTCCCACTGAAAACACCTGGACTCCTTGTGGGTAACATACTGCTCGCTCTTCA